AGCAGGTGTAACTGTACCGTGCAGAGCAGCTTTCAGCATTTAGCCCACCCCTAGCTCTCCTTCCCCTCAAATTGTCCTGTTGGTGTTTTGTTCTTTCTTAGCCTGTGGCCCTGATTGCCTCTGTGGTGTGTTTTGACAGCTTTGGGGTCCCATAGGAGGGTCCTTTGGGTCCTTAATATATGTCCTTAACTTTGCTTCAAGTCCTTCTCTTCCCTGTTTACTTGCCAAAGGGTATCTAGGCACTTGCCAAAGGAGCACTGTGTAGTTGGTGTGCACTGGGATGGACTAGCTGCAAAGCAGCTGCCTCAGGAACAAACCAAAATGTAGCCAGAGAAGTTACAGTTCTCTTGGCATCAGCTGAAAACTCTGCTGTGCTCTAGTGCTGGCACAGCTCTGCTGTTCCCAGAACTGCTCTGCATCTCTCTCAGATCAGCTCTGACACCCACCCTGTGTGTTACACTCCTGGTGGCAGCACAGATATGGCCGGTGTCGGATTATTGCCAGAATGCTGATAAAAAGATTCATGTGCTTTGCTCCCTACCTGTCTCTCCTCTTGCCATTCCTGTTTAGGAGAGGGGGAAGGAGGTACCCCTATGTCTTTGAACACATATAACGCACCTTGTATAACTTCTCTTGCTGTTTCTTCCCTTCCCCTCCTCTGGATTTTTCCTGCCTGTCTCTCTTTTGTTAAATGCCACGGATGCTCACTTGTGCTTCAGCTGCATTCTGTCCTTTATTTCTCCCATGTTTGTAATTGTACTTTTATTGTCTCATCATTCTCGACTTCTATTCTCATGCCTTTTTAAGAGCTACTTAGTTCTGTAAAGATCAATTTTAAAATCCTCCTTCTCCCTTATTTATTATTAATGTCTTCTGTAAAATGTTTTGAGTAACAAAAACATTACGGAAAATCTAACTTTGATTTCTATTCTCTTTGGATAGTTGAGGGTTTTGTTAACAAGCTCCTTTTAAATATTTGAAGTTTTCTCTTGCTGAAAGCTCACTGTTTCTTGTTTTATGGTTCTCTCATAAAAAGGAGTAAAAATTGTAACTACGTTCACAGAAAACACAATTAACAGTGACACAAAGTAGATGAGAAATAGGTAAGAGTAGGAAGACATTGAAGTATTGCATCTGTAGGTCCTTGGCAAGTACAGCTAAGCCCACATATTTAGTTTATAAATAGTTTAAAGGGAGACTGTTCTAATGCTGCTCCTTCTGTGTCAGAACTTTGTCCTTGTAAGAGGGAGTGAGATCTGGGTGACTGACAGTGAGCAGGAAGCTGCTGCCCAAGCTGCACCTCTTCTCTTTTTCCCTACTTCAACATGCAGTTTTGTCAGGCTTCCTCTGTTTCCTCAAGTACCAATACATTGGGTCTGTGTAAATACAGATCTGTATTTCAGATTTCTTACCAAGCCTGAATAGGTTTTCTACCAGTCCTACAATATTTTTTGTTTGTTTGTGTGTATTTCTTTTTCTGCCAGCCCGTGTAGGGATGGTACGTGACATGCAGAATTTCTAGGGGGTTTGGTCACAGCTCAATTTGAGGACCTTCAGTGCAGCTTTGAATGTTGCCTACAGCATCACTTTGTTCTTTGGTCACTCAACTCTCAGCTCCTTGCAACTTCATTTCCTGTGGATTTTATTGCACGATTTGTTTCCCTAAATAAGTCTGTTCAGTTTGGATCATCTATAACTGGCCTAGTAATCAGAACAAAGAGTTTCCTCTCTACACTTTCTGCTGGTTTCCCATATTGTTGTGATAGCTTTTGGTTTCCTTCTGCCAGAATGAGTGGAGCTGCATTCCCATCTCCCGCTGCCGAGATGGCAGAAATCAACCGGCTGCAGTATGAAATGGAATACACAGAAGGAATCAGTCAGCGGATGAGGGTCCCAGAAAAACTCAAAGTAGCTCCTCAAAATGCTGACCTTGACAAGGACACCCAAGAAGGATTTCCAAACGCCAGTGTAACGATGCAGGTTCCAGAGCGGATTGTAGTGGCAGGTATGTCTGCATCTCAATAGTAAGAAAAATAGGCAGAAATTGAAATTAATTCTCCAGATTTCTGGATGGAAAAAAATATATATTGATATATATGTTTAAAAGAAAAAAACGTGTAAAATGCTTTCTGGTTTTCAAACAGGTTTTGCTTATCAACTTTGACTTAGGAAGTTCTTAAACTCTGAAAATGTTTCAGGAATAGTTTTGGTATAACTTGTAGTGGAGACAGGTAGTAAATGAATTATGAAGAAAAACTTTACTAAGATGAAAAGTCAGCAATTCAATAATTTCTGGAGAAAAAAAAAGATGTTTATTGATTTATACCTGATGTTTCTTAATTAACTATAAGCTAAAGTAACTATAACAAGTTTTGGGGATGTACAATATATTAGACATGCAATATGTGTTTGATTATAGTCAGAATGCTAATTATGTTAAAGATCTGTCTATTGTGTGGATCCTATCAATATTTCTTAAGTATTTATGGTCATGGGCTTTGCAGTGACAGACCTGGAACTGCTGAGTGCCTTAAAATTTGCAAAATGTGTGACATGCATATATTCTATGCTTTGAAAGAATGACATTTTCACATCCCCAGTCACCATATTTCTAAAGAAATACACCTTTAATAGGACTGTGTCTTGAGATTTTGAGTGCCCTCACATTGATGTTGCTCCGGGTAACTCAGGATCATTGTTCTTTGAGAAACTGCTCAAAGAACTGTCAGTTTGTGTAGCCTCGATGAGATCTTTAACCAGAATTGTTACCATATGTAATTATTTGGCATGGAAGGGGGAAGTAACTGATGTCGTATCTTCTTGAACTTTAGCCCTCAGGCCTCAGAACAGCTTGCTTTCTATTGACAACTAATGTTCTTGCAGGTAATAGTGAAGACATTCCATATTCCAGACCACCAGACCTTGACCTTCAGTCTGCTCCATTCAAACCACTGGCATTGAAAACTCCTCCCCGTGTTATTTCTCTTAGTGATCGACCGCTAGATTTTTTGGACCTAGAAAAACCTCCACAGCAGACACCTCAAAATGAAGAGGCTAGTACTTGTTTTGGTTTTTCCTTAGTTGAAAAGCATTCCACTAAAGGAAGTGAAATGACCAGTGATTTCTCTTCTTCTTTGGTGCAGATCTAGCTGGTGCTAACATAAGTTGGGAAAATATAAACATATTTTTATTAGCACTGTAGTAGTTCTAATTATGACTGAAGTTGCACGTGTAAGTGGCAGATGGCTGGGGGCTGGCACACTCAGGAAGCTTACACAGTACTTACAAAAATAAAGTCATAATTAGAAGTACTAGAAATACCTTTAACAAAAAGAATCCTTTAATTAAAGAGAAAGCTAGAAAAAAAATTTTCAACTTGCAGGTTATCAGAAAACAAACTAAACTGAGATTCCTTTAACATGTACAGCTCACCTTTGCAATTAATGGCCAGCTGATAAAACAGCACACAGAATTAGTGAGTTTTAACAAAACTCTGAAAGCCATCTTAAAAGAACATTACAACGTTGTCATCCTGGTGGATGGTGTGTGACTGACATCTTAAAAACTGCAAAATATTTATGAAGCTGCATATTCTATAGACTCATAAAATCCTGTAGAAGTACATGTAACTGGTGACAGGAAGTAGTATTAAACCTAATATTACTTTCTTGCATATTCAAAATGCTGTTTGTTCATATTTTGGCATCAGATCATATGGATAAACAATGACAGGATTGCAGTAGGATTGGACTCTGGTTTTACATGTACCAACATCAGATTCTGTCATCAGTTGTTTTCCTCCTAATCGCTGTGAAACCCATGAAATGTGCCTTTGTACCTGAGGGCAGATCTAACCTGCTAATCTCCAATATGAGTTATAAAGTCTCTCCTGGAATTCCCTGTCTTGAGCTCCTTCTTTCTCCCCTTTTGCACAGGTCCGTTCAGTGGGAAGGCTGAAGAGAGAACGTTCCATGAGCGAAAACGCCACTCGCCAGAACGGGCAGCTGGCCCGAAATGATTCCATGTGAGTAGAACAACAGGGTGCAGGGACACACCTACAGCTTTGTTACAAGTTTCCTTTATTCCTTAGCTCCTCCTCACTTTTTTATGTTGTGGCAAGTACACAATTTTAAATATTAAAAGGCCAGCATTTTTCTTAATTTCTATGCTCTTTGTTTAGTGAGGTGACTCATTTGTGAAGCGTTTCCCTGCAGTGGATGGGTGGGAATGTTTGTGGGCTCGGTTGGTTTCACTAGTTACTTCAGGACTGAGCTGGTATAATATTTTTTTTCTTCTTGAATTTTCAGGAAACTGAGCACCTTGTGCATCAAATTTTTCCCAGTTCTCTTACTGTTGATATTATGTCATGATTTATAGTTATAGACAAAAGAATATATGTATTTCTCATAAATATTGCAAGTAATTTTTCTCTAGTGCCAATGTACTTAGTGTGTTGAAATCTGTGAGTGTGTTTCTTAATCTTTTGAGACCAAAGTCGCAAATGGCATTTAGAATTGGAAACTTCATCTGTTGATACCATCTGAGGTAGTGTTTCTTATGGTGCTTTTGAAGACATACAGGTCTGCAAATTTCTATTAGCTATGGTACCCTTTGATTAATTACAGTTTAATCTTAGTGACAGCATCTTTCCACCTGGCAACAACTGTTTTTGCAATGTAATGCTTAAAAGTCATACATATAGGATCCATATACAGCTACCATACTTTCCCTTCTTGAAAGGATCTTGGATTTAAGACCTAGAAGATTGGGTTCATCTGTCCCAATGTAAACTGCATAACATTATTGCCAAATCACCTTCAGCTTCATCTTCAGTAACTGGAAGGAAATAAGTGCATGACCTACCTAGGATATACCTATTTTTAGTCTAAAATAGATCAAGTCAATTATGTCCTAGAAGTGTCTTATTTCTTCTATTTACAGCAGGGACACTAGGAGGAGTACTATGTGTACTAGATATCTGTCTGCCTGTTAGTTTGTCTAAAAGTGGTTGACTGTACTCTGATGGATATTTCAGACATGTTACAGTTCCTCCCTTCTTCCAGATCTTCATGGCAATATTGTTGCATATCTTCCTGTCTTACTTAATCAGACTTCTGGTTCATACAAGCTTTTATAGATTGCATGTGTCTAGGCACTCAAGTCTGTAGAGTTGTGTCTGTTCTCTGGGCTGGCAAAACCAGATTCACATCTATAAGCTCCTGACCAGCTTGGTCTCTGAACATTCTAGTGGCCCACTGAGAGCCCAAGTTCCCTGTGGTCTTGATCATCCAGTTATGTCCTGTTGGACCTGTCATACTAGAATTTAACTACTGGAGTGGTCTTTGTTTGCCTCTCTGATAGTTTGCTCATAATGCATACTGGAATAGATGGTCTTCATGTGGTGGAATCTGCTTGGGAAGTTTACCCACTTGATGTTACCAGCTCTGCTTTGTCTGTATTTTATGTATTGGACTTAAAGGAAAAACAGATGGTATGTGAATTCTTGCAGTTTCCTGAGATCACTTCATCCTTGCTTCCCAGGTTAGTTTTTTAAAAGTCAGGGGTTGTTTCTGCCCAGCCAACCATCTGAGAAACTGGCAACATCAGCTCTGAGTGATGTATCCAGTTGCTGTTAGATTTCTCTCCTAGGTTTGGAATTCTTGAATCCAAAAATCGTACATCTGTAAAACTCACTTGTTTGCTTTGCTCAGTAGCTATATACAGAATTACTGGTCTTAAATGGTCAGAATATGATTTGCTGTCACAGTTTATTAATCTACTAGCAGTCCTTCAGAGGCTTAGCAATAGAGTGCAAACTTGGAATCCTGTAAATTGAAATATGGACACAAAAGGATACAGTCAGTCAACATGTAACTGGTAGCTTGCATGACTCAGTTTATAATTTACAAGAACCAGGAAATTATAACACATCTGGAGATTAGTTTTCCTCTCTTGATGCCCATGCTAGTGCCTGCATAATGTCTGTCAAATAAGCCAAACTTCTAAAGCCTAGCAGTTTCCATTATGAGTGTCTTGTAAGAAAATTATATAAACTTTAGATCGATCCAGCATGTGTTCTCTTTTGTTTGTCTGAAAAATGGCAGCTAGCTAATACTGATCCTGCTGTATTTTTGCTCTCTGCTGCCCATGTGGTAGGAGCTGTCCTCCTTCACTGCAGCATTCCACACTTGCTGACCTGCAGACAATGTGTTTTAGTGGAACTTCATTTGTCACTTGTCCTCTGAAGTACTTCTTTTCTTATGGCAGAAGTTATGTTGTACCTAAGGTGTAGATCATCTGCTTTGAAATCATAGAGGTTCCTAGAAATTGCATTCTTTTTGGTCAACATTGCTTCTTCTGACTCAGTGTGATCCAGAAAAAGAAACCATTTAGAACATGTGACATTCTCAAGTAATGCTGAGGCTGGCATTTCTCCCTCATCCAGGTTTTGCCAACCTCCAAGTGGAGAATGTGACTATGTACGTGCTAGCTCTCAGGAGAATATTCTGTGAATTCAGATTATGAAAACATCATGTTCAAGGTGGAACTTGTATGGCTCACACAAATGCAACAACGCCAAGTGAAAAAGGTGTCTCTTGGCTCCTGTTTCCTCATAGTTTAGGCCCACAGGACATATTCTGTGAATTGAAAAAAAATGTGCAAGTTTCATGTAAATAAAACTAGAAGTAACAATTAAACAAACAGAACTGATAAGGTGCCATTCCATTTTCCCTGTGGTAGCTACAAAGCTACCCATGTAGAAATGTTATTGTGTAACTCCAAGTATCCAATACAAGCAAACAAACCTTATTGATGTAAATTATGCTACCTCAGATGGTACTGAGTATCACCCAGCTCAGATAACTATTATTTATATTAGAGGTTTGTGGTAAAGGTGATTCATGTCTTTAAAGTTTAGCTTCCTTGTTGATAAATTACACCATTTAAGTAAATAAATTCTACTACAAATGTATTATTTGCACTACAGAAAACATATTTGAATACCTGCTACCTCATTTATATCATGAAATTTCTTTACTACCTAGAAACATTTTTCCCAGTGGTACAAAGACACAAGAAACCAGCTGCTCCTAAGCTTTTTGTTTCCAGTGTTCTTGGCTGAAAAAAAAATAAATCTTCTAATTACTGTAATGATACATTTCTGCTCCATCAAAAATGTCTTGACTGCTAAGTTCATATCATGTTTAAGTAGTTCTAACCAAATACTCTGGTGTTCTAACTTGACAAAGATCATCTCTTTATTCCCATGCTTGTGTGAGTCTGGTTCACAACTTAAAATTGGAAAGAGACTTCACATTTTACTTAAATATTTAATTCCTACACAAAAAAATACTTTTAAATGTTTTTTAAAGTCCTGTTTCTCTTACCTCCTTGATTCAACTTCTTGATTGACATAATAGTCTTCTCAGATGCTGTGATAAGGAGTGTCACATGGAGTATTGCCTTTTAAAAAACTTTGTTTTCTGAATAGGGCTATAATACTCAGGCTTTAATCTGGGACACCATTGTCCTCCTTGGATAAAATGTTCCAGTATACTGCAAAAAATGTCAGTGCTTGACCTACAAAGTGGCAAAATTAAACATTTTGGAATAGAAGTGAAAAGAGTTGGCTGGGCTCCCCATCACAGTGTTCTCTGCATGGTACAAATATTTGTTTCTTTTCTGTTGTTTTTCTCTTATCCAGTTGCATGCAGAGACAATTCCAAGGATTTGTTGGGATTTACTACAGCCAGTAATTCTCAATTTAAAAAAAAACACCTGAGACTAACAAGTAGGCACCTGCTTGTACAATAACTATCTGTATAGTAATAATGACAGATCCATAAATTACAATCCCTCTATTTATAAGGATGCTTACTTAAGAGATCACAATTATTATTCAAGGTGGCACAGATCAGATACTGTCCCAAGAAATAAAATGCCACGGTTCCAGTCACCTCTTTCGACTAAGGATTGCACGTAAGCCCAAATGTTACCCAGTATATGAAAATCAAGTGTGTGTTTAATTATGTGGCTCTCTGCAATACTAATTTTCTGACTAAGTATCTGTAGTTTAGAATATAAAATTTGAAACAGCCTTTGCTACACCGACTGTGTGGTTTCTAACTTTGCTTCAGGGTTTCTCAAACTTTGCCAAATCATTTCCCTGTGTAGTGAACATGGGGAAGAGCACCTGGCAACAAAAAGTAACGGAGAACTTCAACTAAGAATCAATTTGTAAAGAAAAATTTAATTTCAAAATAGCTTTATTTTGTTTGAGTCTTCATTCTTTGGCTGAATAGCTAGAGAAAGAAAGCTTTTTGTTGGCCATTGCCAGCCAGTGTTGAACACAAGGATTTCACTTCTGCATCAGAAGTCAACAAGCCACCAAGAGTGCATGAAAAATGGGACAGGGTTTATTTTTTTCTCTTCTCTAGACTTTTCCTTAAAAAAACACATCTCTCTAGAGAGTTCAGTTTCATGGTTTGAGAAATTCTGGTCTTTATGCAAGTCATGGGGGAAAAGGTGATGGTGTGCATGAGTCTAATGAGAATGCTGTTTGTTTATGTGGTTAAATTTAAATTAACCTTAATTAAACATATTTATCTCTCATTGCATACTTCCAGAACTAAGAGAAATATCTGATATAAACCCTGCATACATCAAAAATGTTTTGAGGAAGTCTAGGGGAGATTCCTGCTAAGCAAAAAATCTGCCTTATAATAGAATGTTACTGTGCTCTTCCATAGTAACTTCTGTAATTCTAGACTGTTTATTTTGGTTCCAAACTCTGGAACTAACTGGTGCTTGTAACCAGGGAGTGCAAAAATAAGTGGCTGGGTCTGTATATAAGAATTATTTCAGAAATATGAAACAAAATTACACGTAGGATTATGACCATTTAACTACAAGTGGAGGAGAGAAGGGGCATGGCTTCAATGGCTGGTGATAAGTAGTCATACTGAATGTTAGAGGATTTTCCTTACATTGTAGATTTTTTTTAAAGTCATCTTGGCTGATTTG